CCTACAGGGCTTGGCTTGTTCCGCTCCACACGTGTTCACAGCAGCCTTTCCCAAGCTTGGAAGTAGCGATTTGAGCTCATTTACAAACACTGCTTTCCTCATTTGATGTCATCGGAAATTAACACAGCTTTCTGATAGCTTTCTTGTTTGTGCCTTGATATAATTTCATCAACGTGCTGCAATCAAGCATCTTGTGGCAGATGAAGAAGGGAAATGTGGGTCAGTGCACAAGCTGTTAATTTGCTGCTGAACCAAAGAATGACACGGAAAACCTCAGTATAGGCAGCGCACTAAAGCTATAGGCACAAAGCGCCGTGCTGAATAAACTGACTAAATGCTGCTTAGTCCCAGAGTATAGGTGCATTTTGCCGTTGCAGATAGGAATATCAAAGGCCCCTCTGGTCCTTTGATCCAGTCTCAAGCATCCAGTATGTGTGTGTCCTGTTTATTAATTATTGTCTGCTGGGACAGCTAACCCTGACGATCATGCGTTGGAGATATTCATATGATACATTACTTCCCCAAGTCATGCCCTGCAATGCTAGGGTTATGCTTCCTGTTCAGGTCTTTCTCCCTCACTTCCACTTTAGGGGAGAAACACCTTCATAGGCAAATGGACAAGCACTGTGCTACAAAGGCCAGCTATGACACCAAGTAGTTGTCCAGGTACTTGGAACTGCAAACTCACTGTTGCCTTGTGATTTGCGGCTCCCACGGCCACTCACGTGGAGAGGCAGGAGAGATCCTTCTCGAGGGGAGTGGGCCCTCTGCTGGATTTACAGGAAGGGAATCAACTGGGAAAAGCGTTTACCATCCATGATGGGCACACAGCCCTCCCACCCTAAGGGGTTCTTTCCTAGCAGAGGCATTGCCAGATGTTTCAGTGCATCTGTGAGTCAGCCCTCATGACTAGAGCAGAGATGAGACTCCCTAGGACCTGAAGGCTTAATTTTGATGGAAGTAGTTAGTGTTAATTGTAAATAAACATTGTTATTTTCTGTGTGTACGGATGTGCACACACGTATGTATATCTATACGTATGTGTATGTCTATGTTTATAGACACAGTGCTAGTGCAATCTGCTGTAAGCAGTACTTCATCCCTTCATCTTTGAGTCCTTGTCTGAATGCAATAGCATGCTCTGCTTGCTGAACAGTGCTTGGTTTACTGTAAATAATGTTGTTAGAGATTTAATATGTTCCAATATAAAAAATCTCATGGGATTTCATATGCAGTTGTTCATATTGCTTCTTCACTTAAAAAATCATCACAGCTCCTATAAACTATTATTAGTTTGGGTGATGTGCACATATGGCTTTCTCAGCTTCCTGACTCCTTTACAAATACAGTAAAGCACATGTGAACTTACTAGCAAAACTTGAAAATGCTGAACTGTTTCAGGTAGGAATCTAGTACTTATTATTTTCTCTGCTTTGATTCTATTATGGTGCACTTTTAGCCAGTGGCATAGTTTATGTAGTTTATGTAAACTTTCCAAAATCCTTTGTCAATGAATACATTTCAAAATTTTTTTTATGCTGTAGCTTCCAAAATTTATCATAGTTTCTATGAAAGATAATGTGCTATGGTTTCTAGCATTTATTAGATCATGATCTCTTAAATGTTTTTTTCTGAATTTTAGTGATCTAGATCTGTACCTAGGTCTTTCAGTGAAAGGAAACATATTTTTGCTTCATTTTACTCTTCATAATTAAGATACAAGCTAAAGTGTAGATCAGCTTCCAAATTTTGAACTACTTTGTGAGTGATACATCTTGTGTCCTTCTATTCTTTCTTACATTGTTTGCATCAATAGTGATAGCTGCTGCTTCACTATGCACATCATCTTTAACTAACATAATTAGCTTTGCAGTTGTCATTCAATGGCTTTTCAACTCATATTCTGCAGATCAGAGTGGACAGGATATATAGGGCAATCAGAATCAAGCAGCTGAACTAATTATAATTTCATCTCTGTAGTGTCCTTGACAGGCCATCTTAAAAATCTTTTTTGCTTTAAGATCCTTTGTTTACAGGCTTGTGCTCTAATTATATTTTATACTAATTTTGTCTTTCAGAAAAAAAAGTTCACTGTTAATATCCTGGCTGGATGCTATTAATTAATATTCTGAGAAATCAAGTTACATTTTAGGCATTTGCATCTTTGGCATTTGCTTACACTGTGTGATAGTATTTTGTGAAGTGCTGATGCAGTATAAAATTATAGGTAACTCTGTTTGTTCCCAGGTGTGTCATTTGGGACATGTGACTTAGACTAATTTTATTTCCCAGATTGCCACATTTGCAGAGAAATTTAGAGTCTATAGAATTTGGCCTCAGGCTACTGCTTGTAGACGTTACCAGTTGGTGAACCTATTGATTATGATGTTTTAAGGAAAAGTATTAATGTTTGCCCAATTCTTGTGCTCTCTTGAGGTGCTGCAGTCTCCCTCTCTAACACAGATTTATGTTTACATATAGGTATGTGGTAGGGGAAAGGGAATTAGAAAGCTTTATGCCAATCTATAAGAACTTTTCATCATTAAACAATTAGGATCTGTTTCATTGCCTCTTTGGGGCGTGAACCTGTTCCTGTTTGTCCAATCTGCTTTGTCTGAATGGTTGTGTTTATTTCCAGTTTTCTATTTTGTCACCCTGATGAGTACAGGACTGGAGTACAAGAGAAATATCTCTCCCTTACTGCTTTTGTTTGCTTACAGCATTGAACAGTAAGTGAGCAGAGGCATTGTCCTACAGGTCACATTCCTTCAGCCTTTCTGCAGTTTTCTCAGAGATGCAAATATTTCAGGTGTTCCCAACACAACACTCTTGATGATGCTTCTTTTTGTATTGTTTCTCTGACCTGCTTCTTTGGCTGCATCCTTGACAGTAACTTTTACTGTGTTTTTCTGAGGGGGTGTTTTTCCCCCCCCCTCAGAATTGTTGCATTTGAATAATTATACTGCCCATTATAATGCCTAGATAGTGCTGTGATAATTAATACTGGTTGGATAGTGAGGAGCTGGTAGGGGTTTCTGCTGCTGTACCCTGAATACAGCTAGGGAATATGGTGTTCTCTCTGTGCAGAGAGAAAACTTGTTTCATGGGAGATGTTAAAATGTTACCAGGTCTCTGTGCCACACAAAAATAAAAGCCTAGTCTTTGGCAATACAGATGTAGGAAAGAAACAAACCTCTGATGAACAAAAGAAAAAAAGTTGTAGGGATGGGGAGATAATATTCTGAATGGAAACTAGGACAGGATAAACGTAAACAAAAATGGTATCTCCACAGACAAATAGTTTTCCTGTGGTAAAAGGGTTCCCCCCCTTCCTCTACTGCATCCTGTTCCTGTTTCTGTCAAAATGTTGATCTTATAGTTTTACCTCTGAGGAGGACTGAGCATGATTCCAGTGTTAGCTGTAGTCAGGCTTTTTTTCCTCCCTCACACCTGTCTCTCAATTAAAGTGTACATGCATCCTTAGAGTTAAGCTCTCTATAAAGTGGTTGCCCTTTAGGATTAGTGTTGTTGCAAAGACAGACTTATTTATCACTTTTACTTGATTAGTGTTCCTCATAATAGAGATGCTCCAGTCTCTTAATCATCTTCGTAGCGCTTTAACTTGGTTACTGTTTTCTGACTCGCACACTGAATGCATGGAATGTTATTGAGAAATTTTTCCATGGAAGAGACAAATTCTTTAATAATAGAGTTATCTTATCTAAAGTAAAGACTCTTACATATTTTGAACAGAGAGAATGTTGAACACGTTCTCATTCCAATGATTTCTGACAAACTTTCCTTAGTAATTACAGGAATGTAAGTTTATGCAAGATTCTATTAATTTTTTTCTTTGTATGAATACAAAATAAAATAACCAGTCATGCTGCTTTTTTTTCTTTTTTTCCCCCCTCTTTTGGGGTATTGCGAATTTTAGAAATTCCAAATCTTGTTATGTGATGGAAGAAGACTTTTAAAGCAGCTGCTTAGCAACATTGCTTTGCTGTTTCACAATCAGCCAGCTCTTCCCACACACTGCAGTGAAATGTACGTCATTTCACGGTGACTTGTATTCCAGCTTTTCTTTTGACTTAGTATTAGATCTCAAATCAAATTAAATAATAAGTGTTGGAAAGAAGAACAGGAATCTTTGGTGTCTTAACTTTCTTATAATAGGATGATTAATGCCTTAATATCCTTCTGCAATAACCATGTTCCAGAAGTTCTGGCTAAGAAAACCTGGGTGAAGCCCAAGAGCTAATTCAAACCACTTGGGGAAACCCCGCTGAAGATCCCCCTCAGTAAGGTCCCAGCATTTGATGTATAGCTTCTGTAAGAATTTGTGCATAGTCATATTCCCACTGTCATATTTGCACCTCCACTGCCCAAACTTTTAAGAATCTTCAGTATCAGAAGAGGTTGCATTTGGTACAAATGGGTGCTGGAGGAGAAAACCAGTGAAAGCAGAATTGATTAAGCTGTCTGTATACATGAACAGAGAAAAGGAAATCAGAGAAAGTAAATACAGGAATACAAATTTCAATTTTGAGACTGAAGTCACCAAACCTTTCTGTTTATTGGCAACTACTGAACGCCTTTGCTGTACTTAGCACCTTAATGCAGATTACAAAGCCTGTCTGTTACAAAGCTAATGTCAGTGAAGCACAGATAAGGTGAAAAGATCCTTTATGCTTTTTGTGTTCTGTTGTGGGATGTAAAATAGGTTAAGAAATATTTTTTCAGCAGGACTAAAACTGACTGTTCTAATACTAAATTTTGACTTTTTTTTTAGTCATGTAACAGTGTAATAAAATAATCTTACAAACTTTTTCCAATCTGTGCATTTCATTAGAAACTTTTAAATATCAAGCCAAGATTTTAAAGTGATGTACTGGTCTAAATTCCTGATTATTCATACAGTACTCAAAATATTCAATATCAAAAGTATTACTCAAAATAATAATTGAATAATAAATCATTGCAAATCTAAGTTAAGGAGAAACAACATATAATTAAGTACAAATCATGTTTTTTCTTGTGGATTTACTTGTACTGGGAGCAAACCAGTACAGCAACCAAGAGTCTGGCATACAATTTAGTCTTGTGACTTGAAATTTGAGGGCAGTCAGTGCTTTAGATTCAGGCTTTTAACAGGCAGTGAAGGAGAACTATCTGACAAAATTAACCTAACCGGACTATGGAGGATGTGCTGCTTTAGTAGTGTTCTGCATACAGAGAAGAAACTTCTCATCATACTTTTAGGAACACACCAAGTTTGTACTGCATTTTCAGTTATGTACTTTATTATCTAGGCATTAGCACATTCTCAGACCTGCTAGGTAAAGTTATCAAATGATATTTTCACAAAAGAAGAGGAAAGAGTATAAGAAAAAACTTGACTCTTTTAATGATTCCTTACTATTGTCACTGCAAGTGAAACTGAAGTGGAATGAGTATATTTAAAAAGAGTGAAAACTTGAGGTTCTGCAATGTGAGAAGTAGAGTACTTATTTTTTTGTGTGTGTGCCTGTGAAAAAACAATTTAGTACAGGCCTTCATATCCAAATTGGTAGAAGTGATTTATCCAAGTAAAATATCCTTTCAGAAGAGATAAAAATAACATTGTGTTGTCACATTATTCCACTATTCTGTTTGATAAAGTAAAATGGGATGTTACCTGTGAATCATCAACTGTGAAAATAGGCATTAATTTGCTTTGTTGTGACAAATTATTCTGATGTGAGAGAGGTCTCGAGAATACCAAGTACTTGTAAGTTGTTAGTCACTGAAACTTAGTAGCAGTGGGGAAAACTATTGATCATAAAGTAGGTATGTGACTTACCTTGTTTAAAATTTAACTTTAAAGCTTCTTTCAATTAATCAATGTAAAAGACTCAGAGAACTAATGAAATAAGTTCTGGTTATATTTCTATTCAAAAATCCAATTACTTTCTACCAATAGCTGAGTATGCTTAGGGTTAGAAATAATATTTAGAGTTCCTGAAGTACTTGGTATACTGAGGTCACATTTTGCTTCTCAAACTGTTTAGCCAAAAAAGGCGAGAGTAAAGCTTTAGAGATGTGGTACTTCCTCCCTGACTTGTTCAGTATTATTAAAACACACTGAATTATTAAATTAAACTTGTATTAAGTTACACGGGTGTTAATATTTGCTTTTTACTTCAGTGAGTCCGACTATATATCTAGAAGACCATAAGGTGCTTGCTGTTATGGTTGCCTTTGCTAAATCCTCTTCTTTCCATATGACATATAATCTTCTGTTGTCATTTGGAAATTGTACTCGTGTTTGGTCATGTATTTTGCAGTGCCAGGATGTTCAGATGTTGATATAGCGGTGCTGTATCTGGTGTAAGGCTTTGTGATATTCTCTTAGCTTGTGTAGAAAGGCTGAGTAGGACCAGGGTGTTAATGAGGCTTTTTGCAATGTGCTAATTAAATTTTATAAATGCATGTTGAATAGATCCAGTGGAACCAGTTTTTGAAGTAAAATACAAACACTGTGCACTCAGACTTCCTCCATAAACAAATGATTGTGATTCATCCTGTAGTGTTTCATGAACTGCACATTTCCTGCTTAGTTGTCTGTTCAATGAGCATTGGTTGGCTTGCAGAATCTCCATTTCATATATATAACAGGCATTAAAATGGTATCAAAAATAGTTTTCTATTTTTATTTCTTCTTTGAAGATTCTTTGTAAGGGGATGCTGAGATTCTCAAGAGTGAACAGTTTGTTAAGCACAGGGGTGGAGTTGATAAAACTGTAGCAGCAGAGGCAGAGATGTGTATTTTCATATTTGGCACCCGTGTTTCCTACTTGATGGCAATCTACAAATATTTACATACTGCAAAAGTAAATGAGTTATTGTGGTAGCTGTTGCTATTTCTTGCTGTGACAGGAACGAGGCAACTGCCTCAGAGTTCACTCACAGACTCTACACGCATATGCAGCTTCTGCTGCAGCTGCCATTTTGTCATCTCAGGAGTGTGTTCAGACCTCCTTCTCCTTTTTTGTTCCTACATGTTACACTTTACAGTATTAACTGAAAGTTGGAAAGGAGCATTTCCATTTGTCAGTTGTTTTTCAGTGTCAGTGTTTCAACAGTGTTTTGAGCTGCATATGTGTTGTAAGATTTTCCCTAGGACCTGTGTCATACAGAACATACAAGAACTTGTGTATGTCATACTTTGTTTCATAGGAAGAGCTCAGAGGGCCCCATGTACGATGGTCAGTGTTGTGACAGGTATTGCATAAACCAAAGTCAAGGCAGGGAAGGAGTATTCTGGATTTGAGGAAGATGAATGTGCTACCTGTCTCCCACTGAAGGTATCCATTTCTCTACTGTAGAGCTGGGACACTGAATAGTCTGGAGATCTGTCTACCACTAATGTTGACCAGGAAAGGTCACATAGACCATGAGGGAGCAGATCCTATTGAGGCACCAGCTCTGGGAGGAAGAGAGCTGAAGTTCTGCATTCATCCAGTGTGATATGGCAGGCCTGGTGGTCTAGGAACACTTTCTGCATTTCATTAAACGCTATATATGAATTTGATACTCTTAACAGGCAGTATAACAGCTGGATGAGCTCTCTTGCATAGTAATAGTATTGTTTTAAAGCAAGCACCAGATGTAGGGGCTTATTGCCCACAGGCACTGATCTGTACAGCTGCTAATATCAGCTTTCTACTCTCTTGTTCTGTCTGTAGCACGATTTTTCCTCTTGCTTCCTCAGACGTTATCCACCTCAGCAAACTGGCGCCTCTGCACTCTGAGGGTGTCTTGTGGTGCTGATGGTCCCAGTTAAGCTACAGTTAGATTTGCTGCCTTCCCTTCCCAGGATATCTGGGTTTATTTTCTGTGCTTTGTCATATCCATAGAAATCTTCCCTGAGCTGATCAGAAAAATCACTCACTGCTTCTGGGATGTTCATAACAAAACTGTAAGTTGTTGGATGACCATGAGTTTAACAGGATGGGTGCTCATTAGAGGTTTCATAGTAAAATGCTGACAAGTTGGAGATGTTGCATTGCACCTGTTGTGTCTCTATCCCTTTCTCAGTGCAAAGTCTGCATCTGTGTAGGAGGTCAGATTCTGGAGAACTTAGCTGTGAGTGCTTTGGAACAGTGAATTGTCTTCCTGTCATATAACAACTGCCAATGGTAATGGCCCATCAGGGCCTTGGAGCATTACTGCTGTATATTACACAAAATATAAACCAAATATATCTTAAGGGAATACAGTTAATTTAAAGTTTCTGGTGCTTGTTATGGGGGAGTTCATTTTGGGACATGTTGAAAAAAACATTTACATTTGCACTCTTAAGAAAGTGTCTTGCACCAATGAATGAGGGTTTCTTTAATCATATTGTTCTCACTCCAGTGCTTAAGCAAAAAGCATTTCAGAAGCATTTCATAGTTAAAAGCTTGGCTGGTCTCTCTCTCCTATACTAGCCTTAAAATTTCTCACTGTTTTTAGCATTTCCTGATACACAGGAAAGGTGAAGTATATTAGTACAGAGAAACTTGTAGCATGTTCTATAGATTTATTTTGAACCTGCTTGCCATCAAACATTTCTGTACTAGTGTTCCCACCTGGAACAGCAATGCTAGCAAACATTATCTTTTTTTAAAACACCTGTAAAAGTTGTCAGATTTTCTTTTTGTGAGTAATGGAGGTGTATGTAAAAAGCACATTCACTGCCCAACATGGTGGCAGTCTAAACAGAACAAGAAACAAACCAGAAGGAGTGGGAAAGAGAGAACATATATGTCTGTTCTTAGACAAGAATTAATAGATGGGTTTGGTATATTTTTTCAGGATTAGATTTGTGATTGCTTTTTGTTGTTGTTTTTTGTTTCTTTTACAGGTATGTAGTTTTGACCTGAGATGTGCCTTAGTTTAGAACCAATCCAGCATCCTCAGAGCAGTGAGATGTCCAGACAAAAAGAAATTTTATCTAGTCCTTCTTTTGAGGAAAACATAACAGAAAAGGAACAGCGTAAGGTGTACAGCAGATCTCGTGCTGACTGCCAGTTAGGAACATCATACTCTTAACATTAAAACTGGGGTGTGTAAGCAGGATATTGACTGCAAGATGTGAAAAGTCTGGTTCTTGCAAATAAACCTTTAGCTGGAGTGTCTGGTTCTCAATACTGCAGGTCATAAAGGATGAGAGAGTCCAGAAGATCCAAAGGGAAGTGTTGAGAATGATCACACTCCTAGAAAAAAAATGCAGGAAAGGTCTGGATAGGTGAATATTGTTTCTTCTTAGAAAAGAAGACTGATATGACACATGATAAGTCTTCAGAGAAGTAAATAGTTGCTGTATAATGGAGAGGAACAAACTTTTCTTTTTTCGTTGCTAGTAGTGCAGAGAGTCCTGGGTTTAAATAGTGGCAGAGGAAATCTAGATCAGTAATTAAGAAAAGTATTCCTTTCTAATAGTAAGGGTAGTCAAGCACTATAATAGATTGCTAAGGGTGGTTGTGGAGTCTCCAGCATTAACAATCAATGGTTTGGAGAAGTAGTGACACTTATTATTGATTCAACCTTGGAGGAAGAAAGGATTAGTGAGTTCACAAGGTTTCCTTCTCGATCTTTTTTCTAGATGTCTTAAAAAAATTGTGTTGAAGTAATGCAGGGACATCCTAGAAAAACAGCAAAAATTTACAATGTGGCTTTGGGAAAATGTAGTGGTTTACATCCATTCCTATATTCTTTCCCATTTGAAATATTTTGATAGTTTAAGTCATGTAGAATGTATTGTGAGTTGAACTTTGAACTTGCATTTTCTCTGATTTTTTTAAGTACTTTATTAGAAAGATGGTATGTATAAAAAGAAACTTGCATATTAAAAAAAAAAAGCCTGCATTTGGGCAACTATGAGTTTTATAATTTCTCCAATAGTTCAAAAACATCTTTGATGTTTTTATATCTTAAGCTGAAACAGTATCACTTTGGTGGCAGCCCAGACCATCATATGTAAGTTATGAGTTTATAAATATGAAAATAATTTGAGATTTCAGAAAAGCACTACATTTATTTTAAGTGGCAAAGTTATTACAATCCAAAAATCTCATTGGCTGGAAAAGCTAACAAAGGCTGAAAAATGCATTTGAATAAAAAACCTTATCCATCTGGTGTTGTTTATGTCTTGCAACTGTATTGTACTGGTCATCACTTAGTCCACATGATCTACATCTGATTGTGCAGCTGGTTTTGTTTGTCTTGATTTATAGATGACTTTGATGAGCTTGTGGTGAGTAACAATGATGTTGTGCTCAAAAATATTGCTGAAGATTTGCGGAATCGTTTACCCATCGAGGCAATGTTCACTTCGGAACATCAAGCTGTTCAGAAAGTAAGCTCATTGTTACGGTCTGCTTTTGCTGAACCACGTAATTTATTCTGATTTCATTTTTAGTAGTTGTTCTTAATAGAGAATGAGCACTGGATTGAGGTATAGGAAATCTCAGTTTGGTTCTCAGGTCTGTTTCTGCATGTTTGCCTGACTCCAAGAAAGTTGCTTCATAGCTCTTAATACTTTGATTATAAGTTATTTGACATAGCTTTCATTCTGTGTGGTATGGCACCTGTCACAGTGATTCTCTAATGCTAACTCCATAATAATCTCTAATAGCACCCTTAAAGAAAACAGAAATGCAGGGCCAGTGTTTCACTGTTGCCATAATGTGGGCAGCCCAGGATGATTTCCAGCTCTTTTCAGATTCTGATGGCTCAGAAAGAGGTGGGCTGTGAGTTCTGTGGGAGAGGAGAGCACCTTTTCTACTTGAGCTGTCAGTATACAAGGAAAGTTAGTGCATTCCCCGGAAAAGTGATGTGTAGCTTTTCAGTGGAAAAAGTGGATTGACCACACACAGCAAGCCTGGAAAATGGAGGAAAGAGGAGTAGGAGGATGAAGATTATACCCCTTGAAGTGATGAGAAGGCAAGCATCCCAACTGGTATACTTTTGATTGAAAGTGACACCCATGTTAATCAGGGACATTTCTAGATTGAGGCATAAGGCACAAAGATGAGAATAGTCAGTTGAGGCTGAGAAGCAAAGTTACCCTTTTTCCTAAATTTAAGTTACGTTCTCCTCATTAAAGAGGAGAGAAAAAGCTTCCTTTACCCTGTACCTCCTCTGTAGCCAACTAAGCACTAGGGAGACGAACTCACGTCAGGTCCCCTACCCAGCTATTGAAACCAGCTTGCTTTCCTCTGTTGACTTCCACTTACTGGTTATTTCAGTGGAATTTGATGATCCAGTTTACAGGCAGGATTTGTTTAATTTTGATTTGTAACTTCTGCATAGGGAAAAACATGGATCTTGGGGATTTTGGGAAGGGTAGGATGGTGGGGCAGTTAACCGTGTGACAGTGTAAGTGAAACTAAGAGACTTGGTTATGCCTTTCTATGATTTGTGTTCCTCTTCTCAGATACACCAGCATCCACTGCCCATGATTCATGTTGATGCATTCCTTTATGATGATGATGTTGTTGATTCATTGTGTGAGGAAGGGAAAATGAGTAGGAGCTACTGCACAGAGTGTGGCTCATACAAAACTGCATCTTTAGGTAAGTGCTCTTTTGGGAACACGAGAAACAAGTTCAGTTTAACTAAACTGGTTTGTGCAGTGACTCAGCTGGACAACACAACATCTGGCTGATGGAGGGCTTTGTGCAGACCGGTGCAGTACAGAGGCCAGCATTATTTCCCATAACCAGTGCAAGGAGACTCCTGCAAACGTAAGTGGAATTAATTTGCAGTATGTGAGTGATGCTAGTTGCCCACAAAAACTGGACATGTAAGAGGCAGGGCTATGTACCACTGGAAAGGAAGACACGAGAGGAAGACAATACTGTAGGAGTCCATGCAGTAACCTTGGCCTCGCCTCACATGCTGAAAAACAGTAGAAAGCACCATCTGTCTTAAAGCTTGTGTGTGGTGTGGTACAGATCAGTGCTGTTGCCAGTATAGCCCAGGCATTGAAGGAATGGTTTATATGAAGAACCTTCTGTTCCTTAAAACCTTGGAGTTGAAATTTAAAGCTATTAGTATGCTCATAAAAATTTTTGCATGAATTATGTTAGGCCTTAGGTACCATGTTTCCTTTTTCAGTTAAACAGTTCCAAGTTACTTTTTTGTATTCTTTAATATATATCACTTGCAGAAAAAGGTAATTCAGTTTCATGAAGGATTTCAAAATTCTCCATGTAAGGCAAGGAATCCCCAGACTTGGGACAGATTACTTGGCAGGCTACCTCTGATCTGCAAACCCTGGTGTTCCAGGGTCCCCAGCACTAGTTCAGACAGGAAACCATGCACGTTTTCAGTGATGATAACTCCTCAGGTTATTATTTCATTGGTTAATAACACAGTAGTTAGTACTGCCCACCCAACACCTTTGTTCTGTTCTTATTTCCCAGAGTTTATTTCGCATTCCTTTTCCCTCATGGAACTGAAGTTTCTTTATCAACATGTACTGCCTGACCTGACAGGAAAGGTAGTGGTTGACGTTGGCTCCAGGCTTGGTGCAGTGCTATTTGCGGTAACTTCCAGCACAGGAATTCATATTTTATTACTGTGACAAATATTTTCCCTCTTCTCTGACTGCCTACTCTTTTACTCCATCTTGGATGGGTCATTCTGAGAGGCACCTCTGATCTGACTCTCTGCGTAGTATAAGGTGCAATTTCAGTTCTTCCTGTGTTCCTCACAAGAGGGAATACAAATGATCTTGCTTATGGAGAGGAAAAGTCTGTTGTCCAACAGAATAGCATATTGCTGTCACACATGCTGCTCTTTTGCTAGTTCCTGCTGTCTCTTTCATAAGTAAGTTTGTCCTCTAATATCTTGACCATGCCTATATATAGATTCATTATGTTAAATTCCTTTATGAAGCTGACAAACTGTTAAATTGTACAAAGGAAGACTTTGATATGAACTTGTCTGCAAAAACATATTGTCCTGCTCTGTGTTTTAAAATGCACATAAAATACTTCATTGAGAAACTTGAGTGCAATTTTGATTGCTTTTGGCATGGCTGGTGCAACATATGGCCAACAGCAATGCAAAACACACATTACTATTTTCTTAAAAAACTCAGTGGCTGTTTAGGGCTCAGTCTTGGAAACACTTGAGCGTGTAATTCTACTCATCTGAATAATCTAATTTTGGGACTACTCAAATGAGGAAAGTTACTCCCATTTGTAAATATTTGCAGCATTGGGTCCTTAAATGGTAACACTTTTGCTAGGCTGAATTTGTTTTGAAGTACTTAAATGCTTGTATTGTTATAGTAGAAGATATTCTCAAATAAAGCGCTCTTTTAAAAAAGAGTTCTCCTTTATAATACGTTCTTGCCATGGAGGAGGGGTGACTTCACCTTCGCAGGTTGCTTTTCTACTCTCTGAGTTGAGTGGTTTCAGAAAACATTAATAATTAAGTTGTAGTACATGGGTATCTCAGATACTCTGTATCTTCAGCATTGTTTGCTTGTCTTTGCCATTGTTGGCAAAGTGTAATTATTATGTTCGGTGGAGACAGTGGCACTTACTGCAGAGTCTTCTTTAGGGCCCTGTATGCTCAAGTATTTGTACTTTTCTTTCCCTAACATCTCCAACAACTTTCCAAAATCTCAGTCCAAAACCGAAGCTATTTTGGGGGGCTTATTATTAAGGCATAATTTAGCTTTTTTTTCCCCCATATGTACCTCTATGAAGCATCTGAAAATGTTAGTAATACAATAACTTAGAGGTGCTGACAAACACTTTGGATCAAAATACCCCATGTACATTGTACTCTATTTTCACTCATTTTGACTATATGTTATGTCTCATGTTTTTGTTTTCTTTTTTTTGTGCTATTTTCTTCTTCCATTCTCCCAAGAAACAAAATTATGCATTCTTTTCCTTTTGCACTATTTTTATAACTTGTTTTGTACAGCTTTTTTCCTTCTTAGATTATTTTCCAACTGTTTTGCAATTAAAGTGAAGTTGGAACTTGCCTCTTCTTTTTATTATTTTGATGTGTCATTTTGGATCTCTTACTAAAATTTAAGAGATGTAAGTGGGAATTGCCAAATCAGGGGCTTAGCTCTGAAAAATACATTGTGTCCACTGAAAGACATTTCTCAACTTCCTGTTTTAAAATGTTTTTTTAATCTTAACTTGTGTTTTATTCTTTTCTTTTTAATTGAAAATTTTGAACTTGTTTTAAAGGCATTGCAGTTACTAAATTTCCTTTTCCTAATGTAGGGTTATCTTTATAGCTCAGCATCCCAGCTGTATGGAGTAGAAATGAATGCAGACTTTTGCAAGTTGCAGGAACTTATGATTACAAAATATGAGTTCATTGACAGAATAAAGGTAAGTAAATATAATGTTTTAGTTTATGTACCTTTAATCACCATGTACTGGGTATTCTGTTTATGTGAATGGCTGGTAAATCAGCAATCTTAGAAGTTTCTGCCTTTGCTTGTTCTGGTCTGAAACAAAAGCTTTGCATTAGGGAAAAAAAATATCTCATAGCAGAAGAGGGAAATTATCAAAATATGATTCACTTAGCCTTTTTCCTGAATGGACTTACCCGTTGGCTCACATAAAACAGATATATCTGTTTCTCCCGGTGAAATCAATGACATTATTGCCACTCACTTCTGTGAAACTGAGTGTATGAAGAATTTCTGTTACTAATACACAACTAAACGTCTGTGATTTGCTGTTGTCAGCAGAAGGATGTTTGTAGGACTTAGAGCTATTGGTATTGCCTTTCATAGAATGTCAGTGTATATGTACCTTCCACAAACAAAATGTGTTTCAAACAATGTGATATCATTATGGGAACCATGTCCCTAGTCCCATTATGGGAATAACTACTAATATTTTAATGAGGAAAAAAATTCCTTTCTGGAGAATACCAGTTATTTTGTTACCAGCAAAAGTTGGTAAGTAGAATATGCTGGGTATAATACTGGCTTTAATCCAGTTTTGTATGCATGTGCTCTTGAAAGAATTCACACAAATTGCTGAGTATAGTAATTTCTTGGGAATCAAAGAATTTTAAACTAGAAATAAATAATAAATGTAAAATATTTAACACAGGGTAAGCAGTATCATTAGGTTGCTCAATTCAATCCCAGTTGCTGACAGTTGATCCAGAACCTTTGGCTTTTGCATATGTTTTGTGTTCATAACACCTTATTGTGATGAAACTGAAAGTACAGTTAGGAACTCTGTCAAGTTAATTCAGTGGAGCTGGAGACCTGTAAGTATACTTTTCATAACCTTATATGTTCTTCATTATAGGTTTTTTTGGTTTTCCTTCACACCTTGTAATTCTGCTGAAGTATTCATTTTGGAGCATAAAGATAAGAAGATAATATGTTTTCAAAGCAGTGCCTGAGGACTTAGCTATTTGAGTCTCATTAGACTAATTTGGTCATGTGACTCCTGTTATCACACTGCTTTGAACATTTCAATCTTAGATTTTTATTTCACCCCCAAATGAATCCTCTCCAGAGAGAATACCAGCTTGAAAAACAGTGAGAATCCCATTGCTGATAATAATTTATGACACAAATTTGAAAAACTTTTAGGAGACCCTTCTTAAATAGCAATTGTTGTTTTCAAGGTATTCTGAATTTTTATTAGACCGTGTTCTCAAAGGACAGCAAAGTGAAATGATATTTTTAGTGGCTAAATCTCTGAGTGAACCTTGGGTTTCATTGGTCAACACTTGGTTTGTTAAAGTACATAGAAGGTTGCTCAGCATCTTTTGCCATTTGAGCAAACATTTAAATACTGTGAGGAAAGTAAACAGTTCAACAGATCTTAGGAAACTTGAGACCTCAATTCAGAAATTGCCTGTAATTGTGAAAGGCTTGATGTGTATTCCATGGGGCAACAGGGTAGTTTTAAAATCAGTTGCTGGTTCCTCTGTTGTGCCAGCACATAGCCAAGCAGATCAGGGAACCTGTCCAGCTGAAAAAGAACCCAGCAGTACTGGGGTTTTGACTAGAGCAGTACCTGGTCTGGCTCATGGTGCAGCCACACATGCTTATGTGGTCCCACATTCCCCAACAGGAATGAGGATATGTTTGTGGAGAATGAGATGCTTAGGTGACTTTGGTCAGCTCAGTCGCCTACTCTGTAAATGCAGAGTAATTTTAAGTTAAGTATCATTCAAGTCAAGGAAACATCAACATAACGTTAACAGTTTCCCAGTAGTTTAAACATCTTTCTGAATTGTGGCTTAAAATATTAGAAATGCCATTAGTAGAGCATTAAGAAAATTTAGTGCTAATCATGACTTTTTGTGCTGCAAGAAGTCCACTGGTAGAACAGTTCACCACTCATTGTATAGATTAAAGGACTGCTGCTCAGGTGGGGGTTTTTATACAGAAATTCTGTGGGTTTGTTATTTTTTCCCTTTAAGGATAAGAGATTAAAGAGAGTTTGTTAGGAGGAGAAATACATAATTTACCCTCAGAACAAGTATTGATATATTGTTAAGTGGGCAAAACATTTTTCAACAGGTGTTCTGATAAAAATCTATACTAACATTCAGCTTTTCTCTCCAGTATCGGTAGGATTTGACAAAATGTGAAATGTTGAAGCCATCAGATTAGTGTATTCCCAGCCCAACCCAGTAATAGGTCACACAAGAAAGAAAATAAGTTGTTCAGATTTTCTGACAATTTTCAACATACAGGGATGCACTTTCAAACAAAATTTGTGGAATGCAATATTCAGATTGACTTTCTGCCTCTTATCACAGAATCACAGAATGGTTCAGGTTGGAAGGGACCACATTGGGTCATCTGGTCCAAATGCTTGCTTAAGCAGGGTCATCCCAGAGCACATGGCACAAGATTGCATCCAGATGGTTCTTGAATATCTCCCCTGGGGAGAGGGAGACTCCACAACCTCTCTGGGCAATCTGTTCCTGTGCTCAGTCACTCACACAGTAAAGAAGTTTTTCTTCACGTTCAGGTGGAACTTCCTGTACAACAGTTTCTAGCAGGTTGCCTCTTGTCCTATTGCTTGGCACCACCGGGAGGAGCCTGGCTCCATCCTCTTGACACCCTCCCTGCAGGTACTTACAGTCATTGATGAAGTCCCCTCTCAGTTGTCTCTTCTTGAGGCTGAACAGGCCCAACTCCCTCAGGCTTTCCTTGGAAGAGAGATGCTCCAGTCCCTTAATCATCTTTGTAGCCCTCCACTGGACCAGTTTCAGGAGCTCTTGTACTGTGGAGCCTGGAGTGGAACACACCACTCCAGATGTGGCCTCACCGGGGCTGAGTAGAGGGGCATGATCACCTCCCTCGACCTGCTGGCAATGCTCTTCCTGCTGCACCCCAGGATATCATTGACCTTCTTGGCCATATGACTCACTGCTGGCTCATGGACACCTTGCTGTCCACCAGGACCCCCACGTCCTTCTCTGCAGAGCTGCTTCCCAGCAGTTCAGCCTGTACTGGTGCCCAGGGTTATTCTTCCCCAGGTGCAGGACCCTGCATTTGCCTTTGCTGAATTTCGATCTGTTCCTCTCTGCCCATCTCTCCAACCTGTTGAGGTCCCTTCTGAAGGGCTGCACAGCCCTCTGGGGTATCAACCAATCCTCCAGCTTTGTGTCCTCAGTGAACTTGCTGAGGAGGCATCTGCCCCTCCATCCAAGTCACTGATGAATGAGCTAAGCAATACTGGGGCCAGTATTGAACCTTGGGGGACACCAGTACTGACAGGCCTCCAGCTAGACCCTGTGCCACTGATTACAACCCTGTGGGTTCTGCTGTTCAGACAGTTCTGAATTCACCTCACTGTCCACTCATCCAGTTCACAAACCCTGAGTTTGCCTATGAGGATGTTGTGACAGTGTCAAAATCTTTGCTGGAGTCGAGGTAGACAATATCCACTGCTCTCCACTCCAGGTAGTTGTTTCATCATAGAACTCAATCAGTTTGCTCAAGCATGGTTTACCTCCAGTGAATCCATGCTGATTACTACTTATCCCTTCAAAAGTTGTTCTGATTTATATTTCTCCTCAGATTGGGGATGCAGAATAATAGAATATCCTGAGTTGAAAGCGACCCACAAGGATGAGGGTCATCTAGTCAGATTGATATACTTCTTTGTCTTTAAGAGGAAGTCAAACACATCTTGTCAGAATGTTAATGAACATCTATATTTTCCTGTCTCACCTGTTTTGAAAAATGACATGATGTGCTAATATCCTTTTTGTTAGGTGAAGGTAGATGAAATCAAAACAGCTCCTCCTATGCTGACTGGAGAGGTAGTTGTTTAGTAAGGTAAAGCATTTGCTGTCGTCCAGTGACACTGAGCATCCTGACTTTCCAGCATTCCCAGTCCCAACATGTGTTGTGAGAATTCAGCTGTCAAGTCTGGGTCTGTAGTGTCTTTTCTAGCTATAATCTTTCAGTAATCCACTGACCCTGTGAGATGCCTTTTAATATCCTCAAAATAGCTTCAACTAGCTTAGCTCCTTTCCTGAAATTGGTAAACATTTCTCATAAAATATAGGCAAGTGAACTGTAACAGCCATCACATGGCACACAGAGTTCCAGACCAAAAATCAGATGTACTTTATTTCACTTTACATAATGGATTAAGTGTTTTAATTGGATAAATCTTTTTTTAAATTTTTTAAATTTTTTAAAGGTTATTCTGGTTATCTACTTCAGTTTCATCTACTGTAAGCCAGTGAAATGCCCGTTTTTGTGACTGGTTCAAAATGGTGGTAGCAGGTGCTGTGTTACACTGACAAGTTTCATGACTACATGAAGGCTGTATTTGTCTCTTAATTTATGCCTTGTGAAAATTTTCTCCTTCAGGTGGTTCATGCAGACATCTGTACTCAGGCTTCACTTCTTCAGAAGGCTGATGTTGTTGTAATGAATAATGTCTTTGAATATTTTCTTGACAGACAGGAACAGGTCAGGTAAGCTCTGTGTCCAGACAAGTTATCTATTTCTTTGGCAATGTGTGTGTAACCTTGTGAGTTATGGCAAACCTTAAGGTTGTGCTTTTTGAAGTCACATACATAAATTACATCAGGTAATTGTTTTAAACTGCCTACACTTAATTGTTACACTGCTAAGGTGTAATGGCAGTATGTATTGTTAAACTCACTAAACACTGCTGCTTTGTTTACCCAGACCTTGCCCTGAATTTCTGCACTGATCTGTTAAACAAGTATCTTGCTGCTAAAGGATCTGAAATTAGTGTATCAGCATAAAGCTTAATCTTCAGAAGAAGACAGGTCACTCGACTAGTAGATGTCAGAGCTTTAATATAGATGCACTGCAATGCATGGTTATTAATATTTCTAATATATCTTCATAAGCATGTGGTAGCAAACAAACACGTGGCTAAGGTTTTCTTTCAGGTACAAGACCCTCACAGAAAAGCTTTTGCTAATCCAGCAGCATCAGTTTAAGATGTAAATAACTTGATCATCCAAAGTTACTGTTCCTTTAGAATGGGCAGTCAAAAAGGAGTACCTGGGTCTCCACTGTCCCAGCTAAGTCTTAGCTTTCAGCTAAGGCTTGTCCTACTGCCCTGGATACCACGTGGTAATATCAACAGAGTGGATGGGTGAAGGGCAGTGGTTGTTTCAAAATGTAAGGAGATACATTTCCAGACACATGACTGAGAATTCATTTGATTCTGTGGTAACTTGGAGATAGTGGTTTAGTGTTGCATTAGTAGTGTGAAGACAAAATACGTTTGAAGAGTGCTTGAAATTAAATTCTTTTTAGTCTGAATTGCTGTGCTGTTAGAAAGTATCTGACTTGCAAAATCAGAAAAAGAGGAATGCTGGGGGCTATATTTAAGTATTCTGATTACTAATGTCTTAAGAGAAGTACTTTGTCACGACTGCAAGGTATTTATGTAAAGAGCAGCTTGTCGTGAAGCTTAATAGAATACTGCACTTAGAGACTGGATTTTCTCCAAACCCAAAAGTTTAAAGGGGCCAAATGTCGATGTTTAATCCTAGTTCAAAATGGTGTTGACAATACCAAATGGCATACATGTATGTATTAGAGTTAAAAAGCTACTAAATCTGACATTGTAAGACCGTATATTCCCTGTGTTTTTAATAAGAAGCTTGATTTTGTTCATGCAAAGATATTTACTTAGATATTAATAGTGACTGATAAGCATGTATGGCAAGTCCTTAAGCTTAGTCTACCTCTACCCAATAAACTATGTTAGATTCATTTTATATCAAAGGTGGGAAGTTTTCCCCTAAAAATTGGTGACCTACTTTTAAATATTTTTCAGAGCTTGGGAATTTATTGCTTGTAATATAAGGAAAAGAGGGTCCTTATTAGTGACAGTTCCCAGTCTTCAAGAATCACTTTCAAAGCTCCAGGTAAGTTCCCTCAGCCAGTTTTAGCCGACATACTTTGTCATTTTCTATCAAAGTGGCAGTTCTTTAGTTGAGATTAGCTGCTTGCCAGTATTGCTGTAAGGAAGGATATTTAATTTTGTGCAGAGGTTAAAAAAGGTATAGGACTCTGGATTCTATGTCCAGGTTGACCACCAAGACATCTTCCTGTACTTTGATTGTCCTCACCTGTAAAATGAAAATCCCTGCCTATATCAATACACTGCATGAATCATTGTATTATCATGTGTTTTATTAAAAAAATACCTTAGCTGTGAGGTTAAACACTTGAACACTTCCAGAGATGGTGATTCTACCACTTCCCTGGGCAACCCCTTCCAATACTTAATCACCCTTTCAGTGAAGAAATTCTTCCTGACATTCAGCCTGAACCTCTCCTGGCACAGGTTGAGGACATTTCCTCTTGTCCTGTCACTGGTTGCCTGGTAGAAGAGACCAACCCCCACCTTGCTGCAACCTCCTTTCAGGTAGCAATAAGGTAAATCTTGAGCCTCTTTTTCTCCAGGCTAAAAACCTCACAGGACTTGTGCTCCAGACCCTTCACCAGCTCCACTGCCCTTCTCTGGACACAATCCAGCACCTCAATGTCTTTCTTGTAATTAAGGGCCCAGAACTGGTCACAGCATTCGAGGTGCAGCCTCACCAGTGCTCAGTACAGAGGGTCCTGCTGGCCACACTATTTTTGATACAGGCCAGGCACACTGTCATCAGGGTTTTTTCAGGTATAGGGGTAGAGACTTCTAGAGGCAAAACCTTGTCTCTGTTTAGTTCTGCATTTGCACATTGCCTTGAAATGTGACAAACTGAGAGAAAGGGACATATTAAAGAAGGACAATCCCTGAGGATACTCTATTTTTTAACCTGCTGTCAGCATAGAGAAGTACTCATAATATGGTAGTATGAGCTGTTGGAAGTACAGATTAGGGAGAGATGTGGTCTCCCAGCTAGCCAAGTGATTACCATCAGGGGTCTTGAATCAGTGACATCGGCTTTAAATTGTGGTTAGAAACAGACACGACAGTGCATCTTCCAAAGATGTTGAATGCCCTGTGCTACTGCTGTTCCCTGAGTAGTAACTGCTTCTGATGGACCAACCTCTGCTCTCTGTCCATTCTACCATCAGTCATTGGTAATGTGTGTGATGTGTAGACAAATTATGTGGCCTGGCTTTAGTTAGGAAACAAAACACTGACCATCCACGACAAGGTTATTTATAAAGGGACTCGCTCACCACAGTAGTCAACTTTAAAGAAATTGAATCAATTGTTGCCTGTATGCTGATGTGTGAAATAGATCCTCAGCCCCAGGAGCAGCAGTGGTGTCATTTGACCTTTTCTTGGAGCAAGCCATAGTCACGCAGCAGCTGAGAAGTCCTTTGTAGCCTTAATGCAATACTTCCTGTGTGTAAAACAAGAAAATACTTGTGATTCTTCCATGGTACTGTTAGCTGCTCCCTCAGCACTTCTATCAAAATGTTGTCCTCTGATCAGGACGTTTGAGGCTTATACAAATGCATATAGAGAGGCAGTTGTAATATGCTAGCAAAATATCTAGACTATTGACTGAGATAGTTTTTTAAAATTGTCTTTATTCTCACCTATATAAGTTAAAATGGCATTTCCAGAAATTAATTTATCATTGCTGCATAATCTGGAATGACTAATCTCTCATATTATGTCTTGCTTTCTTAATGTTGTACTGACCTTGAAACTCCCGCTGTTTCTCAACATGGTGTTAATTTAAGGATCTGTTTTCGTTGTTTCAGACAGATGTACAGCTCAGCCAATGGGTCGAAGAGATGCAGCTAAACTATGATGTGTATATGGAAAAGGATGTTGACAGAGAAGCACTTGAACAGATACATTTATACAAGATTCTGTAGTACCTGGAAAAATTTACTAGTATCCTTATAATATCATATATTTTGGGTCTAAAATGAATTTGGATTGATTTGTGTGAATAAATCAGATCAAAATTCATATTGTGATTAATCTGAGTCATACACGTGGTTTGTAATGAAAAAGAGTCTTTGGAAACAGGTTTTCTTATGAAGGCATTTATCTCAACAGAGTATTTTGACTTTTAACTAGGAGATATGCTCATGGTTTAATTTTTGCAGAAACGGTAGAAAGAATTTTTCATCACTAACATTGTGCACTGCCAGTGTTTGCTAAATATATCAAACCTAAGAATAGTGCATCGCTATTAATATGAATGATAAGAATGCATTTAGCATAATGTTACTTAAAAGCTGTAGTGCTGTTTCATTTTGGTATAGACCATTTATTATTATCAGTAATAATATTTACTGTCAGCAGTATTATCTTTAGTATTCCTCTTATGGAATTTGTAGGTTTTCTTTCCAGGGTCTACTTGGTAACCAGAGTGTCTACTGGCATCTGTTATGAGAGAAGCAAGTTCATCCATTTAGTTAGTTGTCCTTAAGGTGGGTATTAATATAAAATACTAAAAGACACCAAGGAGCCATTGAGAATTAATACGGCAAGTCTGGGACAATGGAACTCTTGCACCTTCTGCACTTCTGCTGGGAGTGGTAGGAAGTGTAATAAGGGGTTAAGAAGCTGAAAATTCTGAACAGGTGTCACGGCTTAGCAGAGGCTTGGTGATGGCGTAAAACATTGGAAATTCGTAACAGAGCCTCCTCAGAGAGAAAAGATCCACATACGCCCACCACATTTATATTTAGATTTTACGTTCTAAGGATGTGAAGCTTTTAGTCAGCTGAAGAATGTTTCGGGTTTTAGCAAACATTGACAATCCAAGTGCAAAAATATTAACTTCAGGGGTTTTGGACTAAGTGTATTGTGAATTTAGAAGCACTGTTAAAAAGTTTGCTGCACAACTTCTGTCTAGTGTAAATGGGAAAACATTAAATTGGATTTCAGTCTTCAAATTATTTACATGTCAGTGACCTTAATAATATATGCTGTAAGCAAAAAAGATCAGTGGCCTTTAGGCACTCACTGACATAGTAAGTAAATGGCACTGTAGATAGAATAGTGAGTGGTAAGAAGTCTTATTTTCATGGTCTGTTTGGAGTGGAAGAGGATGTTTTAACTTGAGTGATACTGAACCACTGCCCAAATACTATGTTGAATCTATACTTCATGCATTTAAAAACGAACAAAGATGGAAAGCTTTTCTTAAACTGTTTGTTTTATTAAAGTACAATAACTGAACTGTTGATTACTTAGTTGTCCATGAGACAAGTGCCTCTAGAAAGGAAACTTAGGAGAGGCTAACCAACAGAGTGGAGGTAACGCAAGGCTAATAGATCTAACAAGAAGAGAATAAAAATTGAGAAAAGAAATGTGTGTGCAAGGCAGAATGAGGAAATGAGCACTCTAGTAATCAGTACAGTGGAAGCTGTGACTGAATTGGAGTGTATAAATAGGCTGCTATAAAAGGAAGACTGAATGGGTCATAAAAAAACATTTCATAACCCTACAACCATGTGAGAAGAAAACGCCGTGTCGGAATGTTTTTTACTTTTTGCAGAGGTCCTGTGAGATCTCCCGAATCAATTGTCAGGACGTAGGGCTCATGATACTGGTTTTGATCTGTGCCCTGCACCTTGTTTTGGTAATACGGGAACTACAACTTTCATTGCAGTTGTTTCCCCTCTTCTTGCTGAGTCTTCAAATGCTTTTTTTGAGTGTTGATTTCAGATAAAAAAAATTTCAATAGACTGGAGCAGATCACCAGCATATTTAATGACATCTGTATCCTCTGACGCTGGAAATAGCATGCACACATCTGGAGCTCATATGCAACAGAGGGTGCAACAGGGAAGCTCCCCCTGTCTTTTTTAAACAGGAGAAACTCAAGAGGTGAGTTCAAGCTGCTGAAATGTTTGTTTTCCTCTCCTACCCTTAATGGGTTCTTGATTAAAACCCTCACCTCAACATGTTCACAGAGAAGAGGTGGTGGTAATACAGTTTGGGTTTGTTAAACTCATGCTCAGAAATACAACTCCTCTGTCCTTTGAGAAGCCCCTTTCTAACTTGGCTTCACAGGGCCAGAGCTTTTAGAGCCATTCTTAAGGATGTTATGAGCTGCTTAACTCATCTACTGGAGAGCTAGAAACAACTAGTGTGTGAAAGAGGGTATTAATTGTCTCTTTTCCAGCTGGCCGCTTTTTGTCCTGTTATATATTCCCACACACAAGGGTAGCAAAGGTAAGGTATGATGATGTTTGCAAAACCTTGTGTGAAAGTGAGCAAATCGGTCCTCTCTGTGCACTCTCTGAAGGCCTCAGACATGAGCTGCAATCCTCCCGGGACTGTGTGCATTGCCTCAACTCAGGTTTTGCTTGTTCAGCTCGAGGAAGCTGCCAAGGGTATATCCAGCATGCCGAGTCCTTGTTCTTGGTTCTGCTACTTCCGAATTGCGTGGTATTTGGCAGATGATTGAACTTTTCTCTGCCTTGGTGTCTACAGTGAAAATAGAAATAACAAATCCAAAATCAAAGCAAGGCTGTGAATTAATAGATTATCAATTGCTTTGAGATTGTCATATAAAAAGTGCTAAACAGCTGAGTTGTTCTTTGTAAACTGACCTAATTTAAAAGACCTGAAAGGCAAAGAAAATAGAAGTACCTCTCTGAGATACTTTCTGGCTCTTTTCTTCATGTAACAGCGTTGAAAAGGAAGCACAGATTAACCACACTACAGCATTAAAAATGCGTAAATAATTAATTCCTAGTGCTCTCAGTTTTTATACTGCCCTTGCTGTTAGGTGGACATGGATGTTGGGATGAGGGGAGAGGGGAGAAACAAACCCCACTGGTCCCTAGATTTTTGGGTTTGTGTGCAGGGCAGGTCTGTGACAGCTACTACAGATGGCATGGTGGCTATTGGAAACTGCCAGCCCCAGCTGCTCACTGCCCCAAACAGCTCTGCGGGCTGCACTGCTTGTGTGCTACATCCTCGCATGAAAGACAGCTCTGTGTATGACCTGTTGGAAGTCCTAACCCCAGCTACAACAGCAAAACGCTGTGGTCATGAACAACTCAGAAATCACAACATTTCACATTTATAGGCCTGAGTTAGAACAAATTAAGATGAGGGAGATGCACATCTGCAGTGCTTGTAACCACTAGTTTCTGTCACACAGAAGACAGCTCTGCTGTTCCCCAGCATCATAACTTTCCATGTAGTACTCTGGCTTCTGCAGAATGAGCTATTTGAAATTTAAACTGATTGAGAACTACTTCTGTAGTAGTAAAAGAAGAAAAAAAGAAGACTTTCTGGATCCACTGTAGTAGCACAAAAATGTCAATCTGGAAGAATAAAAGATTCACTTTGCAGACAGGAAACCTTGCAAATATTTTTGCTTGAGATTGTGTTTTCAAAAAATCACCAAATGCCTGGTGAAGGCAGCCTGGCTCTCAGAGGTGAGTAATTTTCCATGTGTCTGTTTTCACAGTAAGCAATACTGGAAGGAGTTAGTGACATATGCTTGGGAAAACTTGACAGTGGGGCAAGCTTGAAAAAAACCAAATACAGTTCTTTCATTCCTCACCATCTATGGCATCAGCCTCCTCTCTTTCCTAGGTTTCTCCTGTCTCTTGTCTCTTTTCAGCCATATTCTCTCTCCCTGCTACCAGTGCCAGGACTGGCCCGTGGTGCAGCAGGAGGCATGCAGGAGCTCTGCCTGAGCGTGGCTGCAGCCTGCATGTTTTCTCTGTTACTAGAAGACAATAATAGTGAACATGACTGGTAACTTCAGTTGAGCAACTTTTAGGGTTCAAGGCAGACTGGAGTAATGATGGAAACATTTTTAAGGGGCTGCTTTGTACTGTCCAGGAATTCTTGGTAGGGACTCCAGTGAAATGAGCAGAACCTGTTCCATCTCAACTGAGAGCTCACAACAGACCCAGGCTCCAGCTCCCCTGCCTCAGTAAAAAGTGGCAGTTGGATACACAATGTGACTGCTCTTTGCCAGCGTTTTAACAAATGGCCTCTCACATGCCCTTGAGATGTCACAAGCCCTCTGCAGTAGAGGGAATAGTGTTTGTAGAAATAAGTGGGAGAAGAAGGCAGTGCTGCCTGGCCAACAACTGCATGTTAAATGCTCTTTCTGGAAATGTCTGTACTTCACTTATTCATTATTTGAGAGCAGATTCGTGTGGCACAGTATTTTGAGGAAGGAAAAGAGATGGAACATGATGCTTAAATATGTGTATTTTTAAATTTGTGACACTCTGCGCAGCTTGCATCATTTAAAAAAATGACATGTTTGTGTAGCCCTAGGGGTGAGTCTTTTCCAACAGGAAGAAGGTAATGGTGTGCTTGAAGACTTAGAGCTGATCACCTCCAGAGTCCCTTGTAGCTTGTAATGCAGGAGTCCCCTATGCGAATGAATGTGGGAGTCATTCCCCACAATTCCAACAAAGAGATCTCAAAACCCCAAACCCAGAAGTTCACTCTTAGTTGTGTTTTCTACTAAGCATTTGCATCCCCCCTTTTTTTTTTCTGCTGCATGGCCTGTGTGATGTCCCAGCCCCTCTTGCAGTTACGGTACTGCTTTATCTCTAGACCCTATCTGAGGATTTTTGCATTCATGCTTCTCAGGAGACTCCTTCCACTTGGTGGGACAGAAGGAAGAGAAAAGCAGTTTTCATTCTTCAACACAGGGTGCAGCAGAGTCCTGAGTTCTTCCTGATCTGCCCCTCTCTGTGTGAAAATGGCTGTGAGGGCTTACTTTTCCACCACCTGCCCCAAGCCCCACCAAACACCTACAGGGCAAGTGGGGGAGAGGGGAGGCTCTGTGATGCTGCTCTGCTGTGCTTTCCCAGGTTTGCCCAAGCATGGAAGGCAGCCAGCCAAAACTGTCAGCCTGGGCTGGAAATAGCAAGGATAGGAAAAGTCAGCAAAAGATTTCATGCCAAATTTGAAGCAGAATAATTTAGTAGAGTTGCTAGCAGCCCCAACAGAGGTCAGGCCCCAATCATCTTCAGTATTGTGAGAACATATGTATTGTGTATGTGTGTCCATATATCCGCCCATGGAATGAGACTCTCCTTATCCTCAAGAGTCCACTCATGTACATGGACAAAGGTAGAAGAAAGGAAATACTATTTCCTATCTTCCAGATGGGG